AGGAAAAAAAATTAAAAGGGGAGTCGGGGTTTGGCCCCGACACGACTTGTGGCCACCTTGATTGTTGGGGCGTGTTGCAAAGTAACCCCACGGTTTTCCCTGGAGGAGAAGGGGTTCGGGTGGGCATTTGTGGCTTTGGGGGGAGGGTTGGGGTTTGGAGGTGGGCGCTTTTGGGAGGTGTGTTGGGTTTTGGTTGGGGAGGAGGGGGGGGGGGGGGGTTGTGAGGGGAAGAGGGGAGAGAGAAGTGAGCATGTGCGGGGAGGTGTTGTCCAGTTTCTCTGGGAGAATGGGGTAATTTGCAGGATGATTGTGTTGGCTGGCTTTGGGGTCCCGCGGGAACAGCTGGCTGATTGATGCTTTGATGCTTTGATGCTTTCTTTTTGGCTGGGTATGGGCACTGACCGTAGTGGTTTTGGAGTGACATGTGCGAATTCACAGTGTGCACATACATACCCCCCTCCCTCCCTGGTTTCGGCACGGCACGGCACGTAGCAAGATAGATTAAAAGGTGCAGTTTATCTGACTAGAGGAGTAGCCCAGGACCGTATAGTGGAGCACACAACCATCTGATAATGTACTATAGTGTCCGTGTCGTCCGTGGTAACAACGCCAGTACACTTTGATGCACTCACTCACACACACAGACACACACACACATGCAAAAGACCCGGACGTTTGCCGTCCGCAGTCGCCATAGATCACGAGGCATTGCACAATTCTCTTTCCATCATTCTAGTCTTCCTTGTTCCATTGCAAGGACGTCTAACCGGGGGGGAGCATGCTGTTGTCGACAATATCTTGTGCATCCATTTCCATCTCCTCTGTCTCAACACCGCCGTGAAGCGGCGAGCGGGGTAGGGCCATGAGACCTGGTGGGCAGTTAGTAGTCACACTTGACATGCGGGACTCGAAGTAGGTGTACTGACCAGTTCGTGCAGATTCTAGGATGCCGAATGGGGCGATGAGCTTCATAAAAGAGTCGATTCTGCTCGGCTTTGCGGAGACCTCGACAATGCAGTTGTTGGTGCTGATATCCAGGACCTTTCCACCAAACTGGTGGGTCATAAATGTAATCGCTCGCAGATGCTCGTGCTTGTGGCGGAGAGCTTGACTGATGGGTAGGTTGGTAGGGTGATAGTCTTTTCGCAGAGCCTCGCGAGCGGCCTCGTGTGCCGCCGCATTCTGTTCTTCTTCTGTCATGTCCGTCTGCTCATACGACTCGTCTAGCTCCGGTGTCTGGGCCATCTCGCGGTGATGGGCCAGCAGTTCCTCAAAGTACTCGGGACCCAGCGTAGAAATCTTGGCCAGAAGCAGTTCACGTTGCACAAGCGGAGACTGCGTGTAGTCGAGCACAGCCCACACAGGGACCAAGTCCTCCAGCTGACGACGGGCCTGCTCAATGACTCCGTCTTGCCCTTGCAACACGATGGTCATGCGAGAAAGGTCATCCACCTCGGTGTTGCACACCACCAGACTGTCGATATTGAAGCCGCGAGCAGCCAGGATTCCAGAGACACGCGAGAGTACACCAGGCTCGTTTTGGACCAAGCAGTTGAGAATGTGGCTCTTCTGCGGTGCTTGCGACGGGAGGGGTGTTTCGTAGAGGATGTTGCTGACAGCGGCTGGCGCAGACCATGCAGGAGGGCGGTCCTCGGTGGGGAGAGGCGCAATGCGGCGGTGAATGGCCTTGTATGCCAATGCCTGTGTCGAGGATGAGCTCGAAGCTCTTTGCTGCACACGCACAGCGCTGGCGCATTTGCTGGTGAGCAGACTGCGCAGCGGCATGGCAGCCCGTACGCTTGCCATTGTGAGTGTGGGTGTAAATGGCGACCTGTTGGGGGATATAACAGCGGCCGATGGGGGGAGGGACAGGGCGGAGAAGAGGAGTAAGCAAGGCAAAGGCTGTTCCCCAAGATGTTGTTATTCGAGATGCGAAATACCAATCCGGAGTCACTGCTAGACTCCCCGAAGTCGGCTGGCCCAGAACGGGCAAGGCCATGTCAGGACGCCGGCAGGTGGGGCTTGGCGAACTGCGCGCAAGCCCAAGACAGTTTTCCTCGCCTAATTCTGCCACCTTCCAGCACCTCCAACCTGCCAGTGCAAGCCAACCACTGAGAAAGCTGCACGCCATACAAACTCATAAGAAACTGCTAACACCACAACGCCATGTCTGACGAACGTCGCCCGCGCTCGCGCTTCGATAGCGATGAGCCTGAGCCTCCCCTGCGCTCGCGCTTTGACACGGACCGTCGGTCGCGCTCGCCGTCGCGCCGTGAGTCCGAGTCGCATCGTGAGCGTAGCCCCATAACGCGCGAAGGCTCTACAGGTTCAAAGAGCCCCGCGGCGGCGGCAGTCAAGGCCAAGGCAGCGGCGGCGGCGGCGGCGGCTGCGAGGATCAACGCGCAGATAGCCGCGAAGAAGGGCATTCAGCATGTCGACGTGCCCCCGATTCGCGCTGTGAGTACAGCCTCGCGCAAGAACCCAATGCCCCACTGCCCCAGACCCAGAAATACTGCAGCTCCAGGCCTGGGGGATTGCGAGGAGAAGAAGAAATGACGGTCAAGAACTCACAGCTAACTCCAAATACCAGGTGCCCACTCCTCCAGCAGTCGCCAAGTCGCCCGCGCCCAACTCGGCTGGCCAGTTCAACGGCGGCGACGTATACCAGCAGGATGGTGACTACATCAAGGACATTGAAATCAACGATCTGCGTAATCGCTACACACTGACCAAAGGAGCTACACAGAAGAGGGTAAATAATCACTTTTGCTGTCCACTGATTGTCTAGGATCATGCCTTCTCTCTGTGGCCCAGCGCTCTGCTCACCAGGCAGCGTTGCAAGCCTTGAGTCGCGCCGCTGTTCGCTGCGTACCATCTTCATTATTGAGAGTTGGAGCTCACTTGATCTTCTAGTTGCCATGCCACCCATTTATCAGAAGCTAACCTCACATGTGCCATCTAGATCAAAGACGAGACTGGCGCCGGTACGCACCCTCCATATACACTGTTAACCATTTAGAATACCTGCTTATACATGCAAGATGTCACTACTCGAGGCAATTACTACCCTGACAAGAAGATGGCCACCCCTGCTGTAAGTCTTTACAACCGATCTAGCATGTGTTCATTTCTGACGATGGATACAGAGCCCGCCCTTATATCTACGCATTACCAGCACCTCAAAAGAAGGTCTTGACAAGGCTATTGCTATGATTGAAGAGATGATGAAGGAAGACCTCCCTAACCTGGTAGATGAACGCCGCTTCCGTCGCCGGGAGCCCGAACAGCAGTTTGAGCGCGATGAGTTTGGCCGAGTACGTTGTCTTGTGGAGGAGGAATATTGTAGTGAAGCTAACACTTGACAGCGCAAATGGCCTGAGGAGAAGATCCCTGTAGGTCTTGAGCCGATAAGTAATTTCAATCTGCGAGCCCAAGTCGTTGGTCGTGGAGGAGATAATGTCAAGTACATTCAACAGGAGACGGGCTGTAAGGTTCAAATCAAAGGTCGAGGTTCTGGCTTCATGGAACCTCAGAATGGTCAGGAGAGCGAAGAACCCATGTATCTCCACATTGCGTACGTATAGATTGTGAGACTGGTGAGCTTTGCTGACAACCTGAAAGCGGACCTCGTCCCGAAGGGCTTGCTCACGCCAAACAGCTCTGCGAGGAACTGCTCGAGAAGATCAAGGCGGACTATCAGGCATTTAAGGATCGCCCACCGCCATCATCTCGCTATGGCGACCGCGAGGGAGGTTACGGCGGCGGACGACCAGGCTACGGCGACCGAGGCGACCGCGGTGACCGTGGCGACCGTGACCGCAACTACAGCTATGGCTACGGAGCCAACGGCGGTGGTGCAGGAGGTTACGCAGGCTACGGCCAAGCCGTTGCCCCAGCTGCAGACGCAACTATGTCTCCCGCCGCCGCCGCCGCGCCAGCCGACGCAAATGCCCAGGGGTTTGACTACAACGCCATGCAAGCTTGGATCGCCTACTACCAGCAGTATCCAGACCAAGATCCTTATCGCGCTCAGGGAGGCTACGCCGCGTGGGTCTCTCAAATGTACTATCCTGGCTATGCTGCTGGCTCCACACAGTCTCCTGCCCCTGCCCCTGGTGCTGCTGCTTCCGTTCCCCCGCCTCCACCTCCGCCATCTGACCCGTATGGTTCTTCTATTCCTCCGCCCCCACCACCTCCAGCTCCAGCTGGCACTCCTGGTGGGTACAATGCGGTATGTTGAACCTTTTATTCTGTACGAGAAATCGAATGAACACGCCCGCTAACCACGAGAGATTTGTAGGTCCCGCCCCCTCCTGGCTTGTAAGTGTGCGGAAGAAAAGAAGGAAGGGAAATAATCAATTTAGCGACTTGTGTCTTTCTCCCCAACTCCCTTTTTTTCTCTTATGACACGCTCACACTCTCACCTTATCGGACATCTGCTCCCTTGCCACACTGATCGCACCCGGATAGAATTCACTCGGCATCGTTTCAGCGCTGTAAGCTGTGCTGTAGGAGTAGTACCGCTGCCTCACTTAGCCCGCCTGCTCTTTCTACCTCGTCATTGCCCTTTTTCTCCTCGACTTACTCGCCCTTGTCCTCTTCCGCAAGCAGGATTTCATCTCATCTCAGCTCAGCTCAGCTTGACACGTAAGGCACGGCACGGCATTCTTGTCGTTTACGCTCGTGTATTGGGTCTTTGAGCATGCTTGCAAATTTTTTTTTGGCGCTTCGCTGTGTTTACTGCTTCTCTCTCTTTTCTTTGTTCTGGGGGTTTGTGTGTGTGGGGGGGTGAGGGGGTATGGGAGGATATGGGATGAGGGTAGGATGAAGCTAGATGAGGTCAAATGAATAGAAACAAATGTGAGAATTCCTTGCTCGCTGAAGTTTTATTCTGAATCTCAATCTCAATCTGAGTCTCCGTTTCCCTTGCCCGGCTCAGTCTTTGCTGCGTTTTGGCGTGGGATTGTGGGACATTGGGTTGATTGCGGGGGAAGGGGGGGGTTTTCTTACCCGTATGCTGGCGTGGCGGTGGTGGTGGTCACTGGTGGGTGTGGGGTGTTGTGGAGACTTGATGTGGAGACTTGATGTTGATGCTCGATTGTAAAATTATGGGCATGTTGATGCTTGTGCTCATGCGTGGGCGTGTATATATGCTGCTGATTTTCGGTCTTGTGTGTAATGTGTGGTCATGTGTAATGTGAATGTCAATGAATGGGAATGTGGAATAGGACGTATGTGCATTCTTTCGTTTGTTCAAAGGATACAGGGCAATGTATGGGTATAGGTTGGTTAGTCGTTTGTTAGTTTTGGTATGAACGAGGACAGACGGAGACACAGACACAAACATGCATGCACACAGCCATATAGACATGTAAACAGGCACAGACATGCATAAACATGCACAAACAAAACAAACCGACAAACAATCTCGTCCCGTTTAAGCGTACTCAAACATGACTATTTCATCTACACATCTCCCCATCCTTCCCTCCCTGCCCAACAACAACAATCTCCCCCATCAAACCCTACAATATACCACCCCCCCTTCCCATCCCAGCACGCCAAAACCCACATCATCCGCATTAAAAAAACCCCCTTCAAATCCCTCACAAAATCCATGATCCATGATCCATCCTCGTAATAGTAGTCAAATCGCACAAAAACTCCAAATGTCGCCTCTAAAAAAAAAGGGGCAAAAAAGAAAACGCCAAGCCCATGCTCCCGAGTCCAGAGGCCATGCACATTTTGTGTCCCACGTGTGTTCCCATCTTGGGTTGAGAAACCAAGAGGGAGAGCGGGGGGTGTTCGCTATGCAACGCAACGCAACGCACATCCTATTCCATGCCCATTCAAGCCATGTATGCAGACAACCTCGTGTATCTGGGTGATAAAAAAAAGAGTGAAGTCCGGACGAAACGCCGACGCTAAAACAGAGCAGATGCAAAATCCAAAGGGAAAAAAAGGTACAAGTCCCATATCCTGGCCATGACGGTAAAGAGAAAAGGGGGGAAGAGTGAGAGGTACATACCCAAGTGCCAGTCCTCGTCGACATTCCAAAACGTTGCCATTCGATCTCGGTCGTGGGCAGAGAAACGCTAGATACGGCGGCTGGTATTACTCAACAGCCGATCCGCCCTCTCAAACACATTCAGCGTATTCGAGCCTTGGCTCGGTAGCCGCGGTGTATTCGGCACCGTGGCCTGCGCCGCCGCACCGAGTGCCGCGCTGAGTGGTGTCGCGGGGACCGGTGATCCGTAGCCACCCGGCCCTTGACTCGCATGGCTTCCGAAAGAATTCGTCGAGTAGGAGGGTATCGATGTGTTGATTAGGCCAGGGAACCCGCCGCCGCCACTCGAGGACATGGTGCCGTTGATTCTGTTTGCATAAAGGCGCGGGTGCCCCGTGGTGCGCGAGGTGAACGAGGAGAGGGAGGGCGGACCCATGAGTCCCGGATTGTTGGAAGTGAGATGAGACCATGGACTATCGTTGATGGCCAGGCTAGCGTCTTTGACGTATCGATGGAGGAGCTTCATAATTTGCTTCACCTCGCTGCTGAGTAGCTTGTGGTCTTTGCCTTGTTGCAAGTAGGATTCTCCAAGCTCATGCCAGGCCTGAGACAGGATGTGTCAGTATGGCAAAGTGAAACATGTTTTAGTTCTGGAAACAGATGCAACAACTAGACGAACCTTGATGAAACTCATACATTGCTGCCAAAACTCGGGCTGGCTGCGGGTGAAGCTGTCTTTGAGTTGCATCTGCGAAAGATGCGTAGCCAGGGGAAGGGTCAGTTGGTAGACTTCGTTGCTCTTCTCGATAAGATCCACGAGAGCTTTGATGCGGGGATGTTCAGAGTCGAGTTCGCGGATAAGGTTATCATACTGTCCCCTCATTACCGCTGTAATCCTTGGGATCGACGTTCTGCAACTATCCGATGCGTTCCGGAGCTTGGAGTACACTCTGTCGAACTGGCTGTCCTCGTCGGCCTCGTCAAAACTGCTGGTCAGCGTATTGGACCGAGACATGGAGGTAGTCGCCGTTGAGAAGGACTCGCCAGATCGGGGGGTGGCAGCACTAAGGCTCGTGAGGGTATTCGATCGACTGGTGTCATTGCTGTGCAGCATGACCGTAGGAGGCATCTGATAAGGGTTCCGTTGTGGTGGCGAAGTCTGGAACCGGCGAACCCTCGACGGTCTAGCGCGTACGGTAGTCGTGGTGTCCGCAGCACTGGAGCTACGCAATGGCATCGAAGTGTCTTTGAATTGAGCGCCGAGTACGGAACAAGCATTCCTCATCTCGATCAAACTTGCTTGTTGCAAGAACAGAAATGTCCGCAGGATGTGCGCATTTGCGTTCTGAACAATCTCGGTGCGATTCTCCGCAATCGAGAGACTAATGGCCATGAACGAGTCGAGACATCTCAGTGCATACATGTATACGCTCTTAGAGAGCTTTTGCGCATCCTCTTCGTCTTCTTCGACGAGCTTGTCGAATTTGTGTAGTACTTCGTTTAGTGCTCGGATATTTAGATACGTAGACGAGTAGCGACGGTAGAAGTCTTCTTTCCGCCGAAGATTGTCTTTGGATGCAGCAGTCAACTTGATGGACCGAACCATGTGCAAGAGACAATCGTGAAGCTGTGAGATTGCATAGAGAAAGTTCTTGGCGGCCTCGACAACAATGTCAGGCGCCCGAGAGACACGTCTATGTTCGCGCACGTCAGAGAGAGGGCGATTGGCGAGCGATCTGACGGTGCCAGTATCTCCATAGCCAACAGCGGTAGCAGGCCCCGATAGACCGTTTGTAGGGCCAGCATTGTTTGGAACCACAATCCCCTGGCTGAAGCCACGGAAATGACTTGTTCGCCGCAGCTCATCCACTGACGTCAGGTCAGACGCCTTACTGGTGTAAATGCCCATACGCTTCTGGCGATGTGTTGAAGGACCCGCTCCCTCGCTCTGACTTCGATTCCGTTCATTACTTCCGGGTCCATTAGGGATGGCCAGAGGGGAGATGGGAGGCCTCTTGGGCCCACCGTTGCTCGTTGCAGACGGGATGCGAAAGTGGGAGCGCGTGGGAATGGGTGGTGGCGGTATGCCAGGTGAGTCGGCCTTGTTCTCGGGGAAGCCATCGATGGTGCTTAGGCTGGGCCTCACAGGGAAGCGTCCGCCATTGGGCCGCCGTGATGGGCGAGGCGTCTCGGGATTACTCTCCGTCCAGCTTTCGTCGCTAGAAGACTCGATGCGCAGACGCTCGAGTTCGGCGCGCTGGCGCTCCTTGGAGGCCTGTTGGCGCATGAAGCGCTTGACCTGCGTCGCAATGACAGCGTCCCGCTCATTCTCGTTTGCGGGCGAGGGCGTTTTGTCGTTGATTGTGCATACGTCTGGTGGAGGGAAAACGAGCGGGTTGCCGTCCAGCTTGAGCACCTGCAGACTGCCAATTTCTCCCAGGCACACAGGCAAGGCTTCGATTTTATTCTTCGCAATGGCCAGCACCTTGAGCGACGTCAGGTTGGCAATCTTGGGCGGGATGTATTTGATCATGTTTCGGCTCACGTCCAGGATCTCGAGCGACGTCATTTCCAGAATCTGGCGGAGAAGAAGGGGTTAGTCATTATTAGAGACTGGCAGGTGTAGTCAAGTCTGTGTCAGCAGGCTGTGAGGGAGAGGGTGGGAAACCAACAGCGGCGGGGATCTCGCGCATGGCATTGTAGCGCACATTGAGGTAACGCAGGCGCTTACACTCGATCAGGCGCAGGGGCAGGGTGGAGAGGAGGTTATGGGAGAGGGCGAGTCTGGGGGAGATGTCAGTAGGGAAGCGGACAATGGCTCGCAGCATGCCCGCCCGCCCCGCCTGTCCGTCAAGGCCAGTACGTGGGGCGGGGCAGCATCTGTGTCTGCGTGGCACACCTCTCGATCACGGTCCGGATTACGTCAATGACCTCTTCCGGCAGGCGGGCAATGTTCTTGTGGCCCAAGTCGATGGTGATGCCGGGCTGCTGTTGCAGTTCACGCGGGGTGCCATCGGCGGCTGCACGGTCTTCGATGTCCTGGCGCGAGTGCTCAAAGGCGGCCTTTGTGAGGGCAACGACGTCTTCGTCCGAGATGGGCGTACCCGACTCGTTGCTCATGATGCGCGCAGAGGGGGGAGGGCGAGGGTGGTGAGGGAGGAGGGATTGGCGGAGATCAGCCTGGCGGAGTGGCGGCACCGGGGGCTGCGGGCATGCTGTTGGCAGCGACGGGCGTGATGGTGATGGTGGTGGTGGTGGTGGTGGTGGTAGTGATGAGAGAGAGCGGGTAGGCACTGTGCGGTTAGATGTTTGGCGGCTGTCTGTTGTGCTGTTGGGTGGGCGGCCTTGGGGAGAGGGGTGGAGAAGGGAAACGGTTGACAAGGGCCCCGGTGACTAACTGCTCTAAAGTGTTCACAAGTATAAGGAAGCGGGAAGAGCGGGCAGAGTGTGCAGGCAGGGCAGTCTACTCCTAGACGTTCTGCTGGCCGATTTCTCCACCGGTGACCCTCGCTCGCCCTAATTCGCTTTGAGCGGCAGCGGCAGCCTGTCGACAAACCAGCTCAGGGTGTGCGGCTTCTGCTACACACATCGGCCCCAGCCGAAACAGCCTCACCACCCTCTTCAATCATCATCATCATCATCATCATCATCATCCTCCTCCTCCTCCACCTCCTCCTCACCAAGCGATGGGTCAAAGTCTGGTCGCCTTGCACATGATGTTGTGCAAAAGCCTTCGACGCCTTCCCACGCCTCAACTCGCAACAAGCCACCTGCTTCCCCCCCCCCCCCCCTACCAACCTACCAATGTATAGCATGGACGTGCACTCTGCGAATGCGGGCCATGCCGAAGCACATGCGCAGGTCCTAGCCAGTTCATGATAGAAGGTGGCTGTCGCTAGACGAGACTACTTGTAGACTTTTCTCCCATCACTCCATGAATGGATAGAGAGAGTGGAGTATCCGTAAAGGCCAACTCCAATCACCCACCGTGATGCCTTTGCAACATCGACGGCCATGCCTGTCAGGCCAACCAGATCTGATCTCATCCTCACCGGGCATGGATTTTGGATGCAGGTACAATCTCTGAATCTCATCCACTAAGTTTGCGCTAGTGCTTAGCCAACGTCTTAACACCTGCCAGCCCGTGTCCTGCGTCATTGTCACCTCGTGTCAGGCTGCCCAAGGTTGAAATGCTGGCTGACCTAGTTCCAACGGTCCGCGCCTTTCATCCATCTGCTAGGGAATCGGTAAACCACACAAACATGGACGACCACATCATCCATCCGGTCTTTGCGCCCCCGAGTCCACGTTCTCCAAGAACTGCATGTGAGGCCCTGCAATCCCCAGTCCACCACGGTTTTCCGCGTTTAGACGTCGATGATTCCGATGATTCCGATGCACAGGGAACCGACGACGCCATCCCTCCGCGCAGAGCAGTAGCACATGGCCGTTCCCACTCGCTCAGCAGCCAGCAATCCACTCGTCCCAGCTCGTATGAGGAGCCAGCAGCCAGCAGCAGCCCAGCTGAACGGTGTCCAGTCGAGTCCCTTGACACAGTCACACCGAGTCATGGATTCTCCTTTCCCTTCAACACGTTGGCACCTTCATCTGAGCCAGCACCTCCCAATCATGAACGGCGACGGTCAAGAGGACTGAACTCTTATCGTATCAACAAGAAGACTCCTCTTCATCTACACCGACAACCTTCTCTTGATACCATCGCATCAGTCACCACAACTGCGAGCAGTCACTATCACGACCCCCCAGAAGCAGAAGCACCGTGCCCAGACCTCTTTACTCTGCAACATGGTGATCAGCAAGAGATCCCAGCTACCACTCCTACACTTACAGACACTACTTTCAGAATTTCATCCACCAAGACCCCACCTTTGAACCCGCTTTCCCCCCAGTCTTCCAGTGCGAGCTCGAGACAATCGCCAGCTCCCGCAGGAACACCGCTCGAATCCACAAATCAATTTCACCAACCTCCTCAATCTCTCTTCCGAAAAATGCTGCCTCGTAGAAAAGAAGAATCCCCTCGATTGCCCGCTCGTCTAGTCATAGCACGAGAAGTCACCATCAATCACACCTCAGACCCTGCAGAACTGACCTTCCACCACGCTAACCCCACCACATCAACTCCCCAACATCCACCACCCGTCTCTGGCTCCATCAGCGTGGAGCGAAGCACTTCCCAATCAAGCTGGGAATGGAGTGCCAGCGCTTTCGATACCAGGACATTGACCGAAGCGGAACTCAGCAGGTGTAAAAAGAAGGGCATCAATCCAGCCTTGTACGCGGAAATGAGAGCAGCGAAAAGGGGCAAGTGGTCCAGCCCGATTGCTGGGAATTCCTTCTTCTAAACGAATCCCCTCGTTTTGCAAAGACGATTTCTTGGGGGCAACGAGGGGGCGTCTAGAGTGCCATGGCCATGGGGTTGTCATGTGCTCGACCAAGCTGAGACCTAGGGAACAAACAAGCCCACCCACCCCAATTCCTCATACCCAGAACTTCCGACCCACCACCACAATCCACACACACACCCTTCCTCCCAAAGAAACCCCATGCCCAGCAATCCTTCCCCCCTCCCAAGCCAAGCCAAGCCCAGCCCCATGAACCAACCTCACCCCCTCCCCCTTGTCCCCCGGCCTCTACTTCTACCCCCGACCATGCTGCCAAAATGCGCCCTACTTGTTCCTGTACCCCACCACGACTCTCTCGCGCGTAGAATCTTGCACAGGCTAAGATACTATGGGGTGGGCATGCATACATAGCATTGTAACCCATCGCACGTCCTCTTTTCTCTGTGCCCGGGTATCTTCCCGAGATTCTTGCCGATGGGATGGGGAGGGTTTCTGCGCGTGGGCTGTTGGGCTGGTTGGTACGATGGGGTTTGTTGATGTGGTGTGCTGATGATGATGTGTTGGAAGGGTGGTGAGTTGAATGTGAGAAAGGAGGGGGGAATGAATATATAAGCATAGAAACGTACATGAAAACAAAGTTAGATTCAAACCTACCGTAAACTTGATTCTACAACGCGTCCAACCGTTCTAGCCCGTGACTACAGTGAGCATCGTCTGTATAAATAGACTAGGAGAGAAAATTACAGACGCACATGGTAATGTCACAGAGGATGGCAATACGAACGGGGAAGGATACACCATGGCCACAACATGACATACCATACTGTCACCCAATCTACACTCCCACACTACGGTACAGCTGTAGAGTCCTGGTCCCGGGAAGAAATCTCCCCCTAAACCCATTCGCAACAACAATCATCCACCACTCCTAATCCACAAATCAGTCCCAACCCACCCTCCCCATCTACTCCAGCAAAAGTAACGTTACAGCAAAAGCAGCATCCCACTGCCTCCTTTTTTTCCCACAACAGCGTGCGGCTACTGGACGCGTGCACATGTGGCCGTGCGTGCAGATGCAGATGCAGATTGCAGAGCTAGAGTGGGAGGAGCTAGGGGGGAAGGAAGCGTGCAGGCGGGGGGCGGGAGGATGGGGTTTAGAGTGCGTGTGCGTGCATCGGCGTCGGGGCCGGAGTCGGGATTGGGAAGTGAGATGGTGGAGGGGGGAGGGGGGGCTGGGGAATAGAGGACGGCGTTGTGGAGAGAGAGATGGGGATGTTAGCTAGGGGATTGTGTTTGTGAAGTGTATGGTTGTGAGGGCAGGTATATTCAGGGGTGTTGGAATGTATTATTGTAATCATTATACTTACGGTACCTGGTCACAGCCAGATAGGAACAATATGAATAGTAGTAGTACAACGCCCCAACCATACCGTATCCAACGTACCACGAGCGAGTCGAGCAAACGTCCCTTATGCTACTACTCTACGATTGCACATGTCTACATGCCGGTACAGCACCATGACCAATAACTAATGACGTGCCCACCTCTCCACCACCCCCCAACCGACACACATCCACAGTCTGCGCATCGCGGCATCCAAGCCAAGAAAAACTCTCAACCCCACAAAGAGGGGCAAAAGAGCCATCTCTTAGTACCACACGATCAGCAGTTCCATGCCAGAATGCACACCACCCAGGCGTGACAGCTGGTGTGATGCTCACAACGCATCCACACGAGTAAAAGATCCGGTGTGTTGTAATTGGCTCCAATTCCCCCCCTCCCCCTCTCAAGAGCACGTGCAAACCACCCACTTGATTTGTCCTACGCGCACACCCCCGTCGTGAGATGGCGTCTTGTGCGAGTCCATCACAAATCCAGCTATCTGCTCTACTGTACTCCTAGAGTAGCTCTTCCAGAAACCTTCGAGATGTTTCGCCACTTTTGATTTTCCACAGCGTCCACTGGTACTGTGCCAGGCCCGGCTGCAGTCTTTCTTATTCCCAGGGCCTTGGGACTAGGGGGGTGTGCATAGTAGTGGTGTGAGTGAGGGAGTTTTTTTTTTGCTTTTTTTTTTCTTCTTCTTTTCTTGTGACGCTGTTCAGGAGGGAGTTGGAGGGCGGGGATGGAGGGCTGTGTCGGGCGATGCTGTTGTCATTGTACAGGAGGGGTTGTTATTTCTATATCACCCATAGTGCTTACCTTATACCGAGGTGGTGACTGCCCACCACTATTGGCGACTCCCCTATCCCGGGTTGACTAGGAGACACCTATTTAGGACTAGTGGGGATGTCTATATCTAGCCACCTTAGCCCTTTATCTATAGATTCTTTAATTAATACTTTCTTATTATATTAGGTTATAAGCCTAGCTTATCTACTAGTATACTTAGCTTTATTTACTAGTACCTGCTTATATTAATCTCTCTTTATTAGCTTCTACTACTTTAGCTATATCTATTACTAATATTTACTATTATTATAGCTTCTTATTCTAACCTATTTAACGCGTCCCTACTACTATTACTAGCTCTACTTATAGCTTTATTAGAGGTACTACTATCTCTATATCTATAATTACTAGAGATAGATCCTCTCCTAAGACTATTAGCACTACCTCTAATACCTATTATATCTACTAAACCTATATTTAACTTCTATCTAGACCCTTTCTTATTACCTAAACTAGGTTCCTAGGGCAAGAACTATCTAGAATAGTAGTTAGCCTAGACTATAGTATTTAGATATATAGGTATTTAGCCTATCCTTACTAGAAAGAAGCTAAGACTAATACTTCCTTCTAATACTAAAGACTAGGATAAGCAGGATAATAAGGCTTTAGTTATACTACTATTATTAGTTTATAATAACCTAATAATAAGCGTAGTAAGCTATAACACCTCTCTAGAAGCCTAGAAGTATCTTACTAACTACTTTAATAGGGATATAAGTAATATATTAATTTTACTCTTTTAGTTACTTATAAACCTCTACTATTATAATAAAAATAACCTTAGACTATACTTTAATTAATTCTACTAATACTAGATATATATAGCTAAACGTTATATAATATCTATATAGCCTATTATAGTAGTAATATATAATATATTTAACTTAGATTAGGTTAAAGGCTTATTCTTTCTTACTACTCTACCTAAGATAATAGATAATATTATTAATAACTTATCTACTAGGAACATAACTGTGTTTAAAGATATTAAACCTAAAATCCTAGATATCTTAGAGAAGCACTTATTAGATATTACTAACTCCTTAGCTACTTATATAGCTAGATAAATAGCGTCTAGATAGCTAAATACTAATAGACTACTATTGTCTAGTACCTCTATACTAGAATATACCTAGTATTAGAAGTATAACCTATTATTTATTAGTTATATCTATCCTAATTATAAGTATCTTAAGAAGTGTAAAGAGAACTAAGTAAAGGGAAAAGCTAGTACTACACTATAGTTATAGTTATTCTTATTATTAGGCTCTTAGAAGAAGTAGAAGGCAAATAATACTGCTATAGTTAACCCTAGTAAAGACTCTAATAGCTTAACTACTATTATTAGTTACTCTATATATTATTATATTAACTTAATAACACTACTACTACGTCTAATACTTAATTTAAATAGTAAACGCGCTAGATTAGTAAGTATATTTATAGTAATCTATTAACCTACTACTATTAACCTACTTATATAGCTTTTTAATACTAGAGCCTCTAGGTATATATCTAGCTGCGCTAATAACTTCCTATCCTTAATACTAAAGATAGGCACTATTACTATAGCTAGTAGTATTAAGCTCCCTATATAAGGAATTAGTATAGTTTAACTTTACCTATAGCTCCCTAATAGCTTAACTAATATTATAGTACTAACTAACACACTCTATAGCACTAAACTCTATAGTACCTACTTATTCTTATAGATATTTATTAGATATAAGGGGTTTAAGCTATTTACTAAAAAGGATAACCTATACCTTATTAGATATAGTTAATATATACTATAGGTATAATATATATAGGGCCTTATATAGCTCTAGACTAAATAACTACTATTACTATTACTATCTACCTATATACTTATAAGCCTGTCCTCCCCTAATTAAATATTAATAGCCCTAGCCCTAATAATAATAATAATAGAGGCAATAGTAATAGCAATAAAGGCGAAGGATAATACACATAAGGGCAAAGGTTTTAGGATATACTAGGATTTTTATAAAGCTATAGGATATCTATTAGTGCTAAACCTATTATATATCTATACTAATAGCTATCTAGTACTAGATAAACCTAATTGTAACAATAAGGCAGAATTGCCTGCCTATTGTTCTATGCCAAGTTAGGACTAATAAAGGCCTAACTTACTAATATATATAGAGAACAGCTCGCCTATAGTTAGGATAGGCATGTTCTTCTTGTCCTTTTGTACAAGACCTATAGGTGTAGGAATCTTATCCCTTTCTATACAGACGCGCACTCCTATATGCCTTTAAGTTATATAGGATACCTTTTAGATACCCTACCTACCTAAGTTATTATATTATAAGAAGAATATTATCCTAGCTAGTAATAGTATTTAAGAATATCGCACTTATTATTATTTTAAGCTACTAATTTAGTTCTAGTAGCTATCTAACCCTATAACTCTATAGTTAGAATAGCTATTAGAACTTCTAATAACTAAAGCTTATAGGCTTAGACTTCTAGACCTATAAGTAGTGCTAGATTACCTTTAGAAAAATCGCGTTAGATTACGTTAAGGTAGAGACCTAGAGACTACTAAAAGCCTAGAGGAATTAGAGGCAAAGCTAATATCCTCCTATAACTAAACCCCCCCTAAAGAAAAGATTTATTATTCTTATTAACTATAAAATATTAGATAAAGGTAAAGAAAGGGTATCTAGTTTAGCTACTTTTAAAAGCCTATTTACTAATAAAAAGAAATTAGATAAGGAAGACTTAATTAATAACGCGCTCCTTAAAGGACCTACTTCCTATCTATCTCTTAAGGTACCTTATACTCCTAGGAAATCTTAAAGTAACACCTCCCTTAAAGATAAATATATATTAACCCTATCTAAAAAGGAGAGGTTAGAGGAATAAGTTAAGTAACTTACTAATTAATTATATAACACCTCCCTCTATAAGGAGATATAGGGTACTACCTAACCTAGCTAGTCTTTAGCTTTTATATTAAACCCTATAGTATATACTATAAAAGCTAAGAGATAATCTAAAAAGACGCTAAATATCTCTATACTTAGTAATAGTGCTAATCCTACTTTTAGATAATAGTAAGTATCTATTTAGGATAGGCTAGAGATTAATACTAATTACTACCCCTTTTCTAGAGCTTAGATAGTGTTAGTCTAGGGACACTGCTTAGGAC